ATAATTTTTTTTATTTATTATTTTTTCAATTTTTTTTTTCTTTTTTTCCCGACTGGCTACAGAACCACTGTTGTCTTGTTTAATTTATCAACTTATAAAGTTATCCTAATTAACCTAGTTAAGCATTTAAACTACATTTTAAGCTGAATAGTGCACTAGTAAAATATTATGTACTGTCATCATGGCAAAGAAAAATATATGAGTTATTAAACCTATTAACTTTAAAAACTATTTTCTTGACACTTCGGAAATATTTGAAAAAGAATACATAAATTCACAGGAGTCTATACTTTTTTTTTCTTTCATGTTATTGATTGTCAACACACTAATGGACTCTGTCTGATTATTTCTTTGTCTAGTAAACAATAGAAAGGAATTGCTTTTTCTATTTTACCTCTCGGTTTTTACCCATCATGCATCTGTTTATCTGCTAAAGTGACTGTCATAAAGCATATTCACAGCTCTATTCTCCACAGAGTGGGCTACATGAATATGCTTTGATTGATTGACAGATTAAAGCACGGGATTTATTCCTGTGTGTTTGTCTAGTATTGTTCGGCAGCTGTACACTCCAGGAGGCAGATCAATTCTGACAGCCCCTGCATAATAGCGGGACAGTTTATTTTAGTCCGCCTTAGAGAAATGTTTACCAATATTTCATATACCAAATGGACTTTTTTCTGAACCAGATCCGGTGCAGTAAAAGTCCATCAGTTGGTGTCAGTTGTTATAAGCGTTTAAATGGGATCCGACAGGCTACTGTACTTCAATTAGAAAATGTACTAACAGGCCGCAGACTGCTGACATGGCTTAAACTGAACACAGTTGCTTACAGTATATATTTTAATAACAGTGCCGGCACATTCAACTGAACTCTGTATTCAGAAGGATTGATGCTGTAGTGCTTTTTATATCATATCATATCACAGATTCTGTTCCATATGTTGGATAAATGTATTAAATATTTGGTTTTATTAGCTGTGTTGAGTAAAGTTACCATTTAAAGTTATATATTGCAATCTTAAAGGGGAACTATTATGCAAAAATCACTATAAGGTGTTTGGGCACAGTGTGTGACTATAGCCAGCCTCTGATTGTACAAATTAGTTAATGATATTGTTTATAATCACACTTGATAAAAACAGTCTGCAGAAACACTTTGATTGACATTCTGCCTTTGTACGTGTCATCAGAAGTGGAAAGCCCCACACATTATTAACAATATTTTTCCTCATTACACTCTCGGAAATAAAGGTACGCTAGCTGTCTCTGGGGTGATACCTTTTCAAAAGGCACAAACTTGTACCTCAAAGGTCCATAATAATACCTCAAGGGTACATATTAGTACCTAAAAAGTACAAAAGTGTTCTTCCTAAAATGTTTTAGTACTAATATATACTTTTGAGGTACCAATATGGACTCTTTAAGTACAAATGTGTACCTTTTAAAAAAGGTACCACCTCAGCTTGCGTTAGAGATCTGCGCAGGACAAAATTTTGAATCCTGCTCCCGCCCGGTCTCGTCAGGTTTTAGCCCGAACCCGATCGCTCCCGCTTATATTCAGCATTTTTTTGTCCCGCTGCCTGACTTGACCCTTTTCTACTCGCCGCGCCCGATCCCGCTAAAGAGCGAGGGGAGAACAAAACCTAAAACCACCCAGCTATACAGAGTCCAGACAGCCTAGTACAAGCTGTCTGTATAAACACACACACACACACACTCACACATAAGCACCAAGCACAAACACACAGACAAAGCTCCCTCTCTCTCATTCGCACATACACACACACACACACACACACCTCTCATTCGCGCACGCACACACACAGCAACAAACAAGCTAAACACAGCATCGCGCTATTTCATACACACACATACATACAGTACATGTGCTTGCTCGCTTGGGAGTTGGGAGCGATATTGCTAGACGGCCCGTTCCCGTCCCAAATTAAACCCGTCACCGACCACTCCCGCGCTTTATTCGGAAATTTAAGAATGCCGACCTCTAGCTTGCGTACCTTTATTTCTGACAGTGTAGCATAGACAGCCCTGAGTGAGAAGCAGCCATCCGCCATTAGTGTTTTAATATTGTACCTGCTGAAGATAAAATTCCCTTTCACACAGTGAGACCGGTAAACATACAGAAAATTTCCAGAACGACTTTACCGGTAAATTCATAAAAAATGTGTTTACACAGACAAGGATGTTCCGTAATTTTTCTGAAAAAGACCATTCACACATCCATTCCAACATACCGGTAAATTCTGACATCATTAACCAGAAATGACCTATAAACGGCTGCGCTTGTATTTCTAATCATAGAAGGGGTCTGCCTTTTGTTAATGGTTTCACTTTTATTTAAAGCTTTAACATTGGTGCAGCTGTTTTGTCTCAGAGACATCCAAAGGCGGAAACGCGCACCGCAGCTAAATGTTTACACATTTAACTACATTACAAATTCTGTGGATGGATAAGTATTGTGAACAACTTGTATAAAAACATACTGTTTGGAGGAACACTCTCAGATGTCAAGATGCTCATAAAATGTGTGTGTCCTGGTGCTGACCGGCTCCTTAACGTGCATCAACCAGAGCTTGAAGGTAAACGAACAGCAGTTTATCATAAGCATTTTATCGATAATTTTTTACATAGTTGGCCTTCAGAAGGAACACATGATTATCTGTCTAAAATCTAGCAGATAAATGTGTCTAAAAAATATTCAAAGGCTTTTATTTTCATAAACTGCGCGAACTTGATTTTGTCTGAATGTTTTGATTGGATGAAGTAGATTGCACTCTTTCTGGCAGTTTTCCTTCTGCTTTCACACAGAGCAGCATTCTGGCAAATTACCGGTAATGTTACCACTTTTCTTTCCGGAGAATTGCTGGAACAAATTAACCGGAATTTTCAAAAAGGGCCTGTTCACACATACAATTCTCCAGAAAGGTCTGTATGTGTGAAAAGGGCTAATGTCAGCAATGCACAAATGAAAACCGCAGTTTCCATAGACATCCTTCTTCTGCCACTTCGTTTTTCATTTTCATTTTTTCACAAAGATAACGTTAGTCCTGTTTTGAATCTGCCGCTATTCTGATGCACAGGTGTTTGTTGCTCTACACCCTTTTAAAAATCTCATTTGCATTTAAAGCAACAGTCATCAAAGCCTAATGGTGCGTTCACACCAGACTCGGATGAAGCATCAAGCACGAATGATCAACATGTTAAGTCAATGAAAAGACATGATCAGACATCTTGCGGCGCTGTTTGCACTAATGAGGTGGCACGAATGAAGTGGCGCAAATTGAGCATTGCATGTTTATCATGTAAATCGCTCGAGTTGGAAAATCTGAACTTTAGCGAACATTAACACTGTGTTAACCATTCAGGAGCTTGCTCTAGTATGGGCGTGATCATGATGTAGCGCCTGTTGTTGGTGTGCCGAAGGGAAATCCTGCTGCCGTCAACGGACAACAGCTCATCGAACTGAGCTGAGCTCAGTCGGAAGCATTGCTGAAAGCTTCCATCATCCAGGTATAGTTTCTGGAAGAGTTGATTAACTCAGACCTGGATGCACCTCAGAAAAGATCCAGTGGACTCAGACACGGTGCAGAATCCACTGTTTTTCAGCCTTCCTAAAGCACATAAAGCACAGCTACTCTCTCAATAAAATCCATGTAAACCATTTAGCAATGAAACTAGAGTTACTGGGCGGACATAAGCCCTGCCCTTGACGCGAATGCGCATCTGTTGTGGAGTGAATTTTACGCACAAATGAAGCGAATTTCATGAGCGAATGGAGCAAGTAAACTCAAAATGATCACAGGTCTATTTATTCTCGCAAACCACGAGAATATTAATACCCCATAAAAGGGGTAGTTTTTATTAGGAAAAAAATATTTGGTGGGTATTTTGAGTTGAAACTTCACATACTACTAGGGACATCAGAGACATTTTATATATTGTAAAAATTAGCATAATAGGTACCCTTTTGGTCATTTTTGTAACTACAACTATATAAAAGTGTTACTACCTAGTTCATATCTAACACTACTTAGTAAATTTGTGTTATGTTAGTTTTGCTTTTTTTTTAAACATTAAAATAGGCTTAAGATTGTAATAGATTACTTTTTTTACCCTGCACTGTATATTAGTCTATTCATTTTGTCCAATTTTGAAAGTTATATAATTGTTATTGCATGATTAATAGCAGATTTGTATCTTGAATTTTGTCTCAAAACTTTCATTCCCAGGTAAAAAAAAAAAAAAATGTGTGACGTAAACAAACTTTAGCGAAATAAAATGTAAGTTGTGAGATGTAAACTCAGAGGGTCTCATTTATAAACATGGTGTACACACAAAACGGGTGGAAATGTGTGTATGCCACTTCCCACAAGTTTTGATCTATAAAAAACAAACTTGACAGGTGAATGTGCGCAGTTGTAAGTAAAGCTTAAGTAAGCGTAATTACGATAACTTAAATGTTGACTTAATTAAACCACTTTAAATCATCATATGAGCCATTATCACTAATAAATGAATTGACTTTTTTTCTGGTGTACATTCACTTTTAGGTTTTTAATATTTTTTTTTTTTATGCAAATCTTATAAATCAGACCCAGAAGTCAGAAAACAGGCAGTAGATGTAAAGTGATAATTCAGAGGAGGAAAGTTAAATTTAAAAATGTAAATTATTGTGAAAACAAGATTTCATATCTACGTATATTTACAATTACAAATATTTAAATATGTAATATTTGTGTCGATGATTGAATGCTTGTGTTGTGTTTTTGTTCAGTATATTCAAATGCAGGCCAAGGGTTCAACACAACTTTTCCCATTGGGGACAATAAAGTGTAAACAAACCAACAAACTTTGTGCCATATGTTTAGAATCATCGTAATTTCCCCCTGGACACAGTGCTGTGTAATATTTTCTTCCAGCAGTGCAGTTGAATCATGTGTTTGTGTTTGCAGGGCGATAAAGAGGCAGAGCTGGGTTTACCTTTCTCACCTCTGTGTGACCGTAAATCCACTATGGTTGCCCAGTCCCAGATTGGTGAGTGACACAAACATGTGCTAAATACACAGAATCTTGCTAAAGTTTACCTAAATTGCAATTGCAAAATAAGGAATTATGTTTGTAATACACTCTCAGAAATAGGGGTACAAACCTGTCACTGAAGTCTTGTACACACCGGGACGCTTATCCTCGGGGTTTTTTTGAGGCGTTTTTCCAGATTGAAACCGAAGCCATTTTCACTGGCGTCGAGTAGAAGAGTATGCAAAATCACTCCTTGACTTCAGATGGCGCGACACAACTTTAAACTTCTGACACCCGCTTGTAACGCAGACGAAGAAGAGAGAAAGTTGACACGCTTGTCGTTAAAGTTACTGGCGGTTTGAATAAGCATGCATGGCTCAAGTAGCCGCTCCAGCTCTAGAAATGATTATTGTTCACCAGTGCTATAAGCAGCTCCACGTTTATATCGCCTCTTTGCATCTTCCTCAATGTGCGCTCGCATTGAGCGCTTGAGCGCCTCCAAGTGCTGTTTACTTTAACTTCAGCAGCTCCGTGCATGTGAACAAAAGTGCCGATCTGATTGGTGGAAAAGGTTTTGACTCGATATGTTAAAACAAAAAAAACGAGCATGAGGCGTTTCTTAAAAAATGGCACTTTTACGCCTGGCGTTTTGCGCATTGGTGTGCTCGATCACATAGGCTCCCTTTATTTAGTCAAGAGGTGTTAAACGTTGACGGAAAACGAGGAAAAAGCATCCCGATGTGCACGGGCCTTGAGGTTGTATCTAATCAAAGGTACAGTTTTGTATCTTACATGTGCATATTGGTGCCTTTTTTGTACCTTTGGGTTACAACTTTGTATCTTAAGGCAGTGTTTCCCAACCATGTTCCTGGAGGCACACCAACAGTACATATTTGTGATGTCTCCCTCACATCTGACCCATTCATTTGAGGTTTTGGAATTTCTTCTAATGTTCTAATGATGAGTTGATTCTGGTGTGTTTAATTAGGAAGAGGTTGAAATGTGTACTGTTGGTGTGCCTTCAGGAACAGGGTGGGGAAACACTTGCTGCATTCCAATTTACATACTTGTACTATGCCCCTAAAATGATGTACTTTTTTGTAAGAGAAAAGTATATACTTTTGAGTGTGTAACAGAAGAGTATGCAAGCTTTGAGACATACTATTTTCTCAATAACAGATCGTCATGTTGCTTTGTTATGTCCCATGTAAATCATGTTGACACATCATCCACATTTCATCATATTTAATTACCTACATTATTAGAGAATCAGCAGTGTTAGTCTGCCATTTTCGAGTCTTTTATGCAGAGAAATCTCCTCAGGTCTTTGAGTAATTCTGGATTTAGAAGTTAATGTCCAAACATACCTTGATATACAGTAGGTTCACGTTGTTGCAGATGAAATATAACATGGAGTATGTGGCTTAAACATGTTCCAGTTGGCTAGATATTGATTAACAGTCATTCAAACAACTTTACAGAAGCCTCTACTTGAAGTTGGTCTCACGTGTCCACCATGTTTGTAGTTTGTTTATATTTTTAACCCAAATTTTTAGTTCCGATCAAGTTCACGTCCAACGTGCAATCTACTGTGCGCAATATTAGCGTTTAGAGTATGGATGCTTCTATACTTTAAAATTTTACCAGAAATCTAGGAACATTTGGTATACTCTTTTCAACATACTATGGTTTGGGACATACTAATTCTATTTTCGAATACTATTTAGGATGGATAGTATGCAAATTTGGACACTGCAACTGTCGTAAGTGTACTATCAGGTACACGTTTGTACTTTTGTGGTATTAATATGTACATTTAAGGTACAAATGTTGACCTGCTAAGTACAGAAGTGTACTTTTTAAAAGGATACCACTCCAGTGACACGTTTTGTACCTTTATTTCCAAGAGTGTACAGATTTAGAAAGACTTACACTTGCAATAGCTTAAACCAGGGCTGTCCACACTTGCTCCTAGAGGGCCAGTGTCCAAGAGAGTTTAGCTCCAACCCTAATCAAACACACCTGAATCATCTAATCAAGCTCTTGCTAGAAATACTAGAAACTTCCTGGCAGGTGTGTTAGGCAAGTTGGAGCTAAACTCAGCAGAAAACAGGCTCTCCAGGACCGAGTTTGGACACCCCTGGCCTAAACAAATCCAGTTGAACACAAAATTAGCTGTGAAATTTGAATTAATTTGCAAATATTTCCCAAGTTTTGTTTAGCTGAGCAAGTATTTTCACAGCATTAACCAATAAATGTGTCTTCTGGAGAAAGTCTTGTTTTGTTTAGTTTGGTGAGAATAATAAAAAGAATTTTTACAAAACTATTGAGATCAATATTATTAGTCCAATTAAGACTTTTTTGTCAAATAAATTGATTATTAACTTAGCATTAACCTAGTTTAGCACTTTAAGCTAGTATCTTGCAAAATAACTAGTGAAATATTATGTATTGAAATCATGGCGGCGAGGCAGTGGTGGAGTAGGTAGTGCTGCCGCCTCACAGCTGGGTCGCTGGTTCGAATCTCGGCTTAGTTGGCGTTTCTGTGTGGAGTTTGCATGTTCTCCCTTCCTTCGAGTGGGTTTCCTCCGGATGCTCCGGTTTCCCCCACAGTCCAAAGACATGGGGTACAGGTGAATTGGGTAGGCTAAATTGTCCGTAGTGTGTGAGTGTGTGTGTGAATGTGTGTTTGGATGTTTCCCAGAGATGGGTTGCGGCTGGAAGGGCATCCGCTGCGTAAAAACTTGCTGGATAAGTTGGCGGTTCATTCTGCTGTGGTGACCCCAGATTAATAAAGGGACTAAGGCGACAAGAAAATGAATGAATGAATGAATGAAATCATGGCAAAGACAGAAATTAATTATTAGAAATTTGTAATTAAATTTTTTTTTTTTTCAAAAAAAAAAAAAAAAAGGAAATCAGTTGAAAAACGCTAAAAACAATTGGGAAATATTTGTTAAAAATAATTACAACGTCACAGGATGGCTAATAGTTATGTGTTTAACTGTATTTTTTATTAACTTTCTAATATTTGGGTTCTTAAACAATTAACATTTTCTTTTTCGATTCCTCTAGGCTTCATTGACTTTATCGTTGTTCCAACTTTCACGGTTCTGACGGATATGACCGAGAAGATCGTAACGCCACTCATTGAAGAGGCCACAAGTTCAGGACTGTCTGGATTTCGCAGGTTTGGAAAGTCTGATTTACATCTTTAGTTTGTGCAGGACAGGAATATGCATTAAGATAAACAGTTAAATTACTGCACAGGCCCCTAAAAACGTGGATTGCGGCAAAGCTTGTCTTTTTACAGAAACCCAATTCACTGATGCTATTGTGGTCATTCCTATTAACCCAGTACAACTGAACTTTAATTGTTTAGAGGAAAACAACTGAATGAGCCAGTGATTCTGATCTTTAATTCTAGCTAACAGTTATAGGTTGTAAAAACATTCTCCTGATCCCATTAAGTCATAGAACATTATTTTAAAATGTTTTTAGAATCTTCAAAATCTATTACATAGTTTTTGTTTGTTATAATAATATTAATATAATAATATTCAAAACATGTTCATAATGCTTTAGTTTAGCATGTTGTATTAATGTTCTCGAAATGTTATTTAAAACATTGTTGGAATATTCCATTCACATATGGTAATGTTTTAAGAACGCTTTTTAAGAATGCTAACACAACTTTTAAACATATGCTGAGTCTCATTTCAGAGGCTGCATCCTCTTTAGGATGCATTCGAAGTGCACTGCGCCATCGTGGCGTGATGAAGGCTGTCTCATTTCAAAAAAATTTGAAGGCACCTTTAAACGCAGCCTCCAAATGTGTCTCCAAATGTGTCTCCTTCGTAGGATGCAGCCTCTGAAATGAGACACAGCTATGGTTACTCAATGTTCTGGGACTGTTCTCTATATGCTGGCTTCACACTTGGCTATCGAATGCTTTATTCTGATTGGCTGATGAACATTCTAAGGTGTGCAGGTATTTTTTAAAAACCATTAGACTAAAATAGTTCAATTCAGGTCTTGATGCACATTACAGTTCCATATCAATCTGCTGATTTATTTCAGTTTTTTTCAAGGCTGCAACAGTCAAAAATCATCACATGGCAACCTCAAAACATTATGGAATTTTGAGTGTGCCTCACACAGGTGAGTGGGCTTGACAAATCACCTGTAGATAAAACACTCAACTTTCATCTCAACTTTCATCTCTGTCACTTTAACCAACACTTGCACCAGTTTTGCACATTTCCACCAGACACTTTCTTACAGTCACTCCATATCCATATAAAAAGTGCATTTATAAAATGTGCCTTACATAGGTGAGTGGGGTTGACAAACCACCTGTAGAAACACTCTCATCTCTCTTTTGTTTTATTTCCGTTGGCGACTCCTAGAGGCAATAATGTTAAATTGCACACTACAAAGTATTGTGCAATGCCAGCTGTATGGGATGGGATCATCCGCATGTCTAGCAGGTATATAAGGTTTCCATACCATGCAGTTGACCATCCAAACATTGCTATTTGTGCAATTTGTAGCAATCATCGGTTTTCCTAATGTAATTGGAGGGAAGTACTGCCCCAACACATGTGAAAACATTGATGAATTGACAATATATTGTGTCAATAATTGGTAATTGACACAATATATATATTACCAATTTTATCAACTTCTGGTCTGTCTGGTTCTTGTGTTGGTGTGTCTGCTTCATTTTGCCTTCCCGTAGCGAACCTGGTGATCTGGCCTGTTGTTGTGTATCTTACTATTTAAACTAATACACTGAGAAATATTGTAACCATTGCACCCTAAGTGCGTATCGGCTATATATATACAACCCACAAACTGCCCAAGAGAGCAGATACAATGATGCCCATTCTCGCAATCGGTCAGTTGTAAAGCGAGTGATTGGGCAGCTGAAAAACCGCCCTAGTAAAGTGTTCCTCAAATACATCTGTGTCTCCCATAGACACAGATACTACTCCAGACAGTAAAGTGTCGCCCGCAATTGAGGCAACTCTCTCCTTAAAGAGTGTTAGTTCAGCATGCCCTGTTCCCCTGCCTCTTCGGTCCACACTTTGACAGTGCGTCGCTGTTCTCCTCTTAACCTGCACCTTTACATTGGACCATTTCTTTTTTCATTCACTCACAGTGCGATGTTCAGACCCCACTGCGTTAACCACGTCAGCTAAATTTTCTCACTCTATTTTTTTTTCTTTTGTTATTAATTGCGGAGGACAAACTTGCAAATAACACTGTTTTTCTCCGGTCTACCTCCGAAAAATACAAAAGGTGTGTAATGAAAACTTGGTGTTGTAGTTTTGCGGTCCTTATATCTGTATTTTGTGGATACTACAGATTAAAATGTCCATGTTTCGTTTAGTGATGTTTTAGATTTTCACTCTTTACTACTTCAATTGTCTGATTACAGATCAAGCAGAATAGCTTTGTGCTGGCTTAATCCAAAATAAACACAACTTATCTGTCCATTCAACTGTGTATTCTCTTCATCAAGTTTTCTTTTCTGTGAAACCGACATCATCCATTGAATAGATCACTTTGCTGCGGTATTAAAACATGTGAGCACACGCACGATTAGCTGCTCGATCACGTGAAGCCTCCTATGATCACTGGATGTCATGACAACAGAGTCACGCAGCAAAACTTTTAATATTTTGCCGTCGATTTTATTTCGGCATGTATTCTTTTTTTTATATACAAAAATACAAACAACTAAACCGTTCATTTACAAGGTTTATGCATTTATCAATGAAGGAAATCCGCAATTTAAATCCTTTACTAATGGTCTTGCAATACGAAATGGAGTCGGGTCCGGATTGAATACCAAGACTTTGAGAAGCCCTGTGCCAAATGGTTAAATGTAAATGTGAATCTAAACTGAAGGCTTTGGATGTCTAAGAAACTAGTCCTACACACAAGGACACTGTAAAAAGGACATGTACACTGTGTACTGTACAACAGGAACAGTATTACAGCTCATTTTTGATCACAGATTACAGGCCTTCTTTGCATACAAATATCATACACAAGCATTTATTGGCATTAGTGCACCTTTCTTTTGCAATAGATTACGCTTTCTGCATATAAAAGACTGAATTATATCCCATCCTTTTAGAATATATGGACGACTAAAGCAGGTTCACAGAAAGGACACAATGCAGGAACAGCGGCAGCATGTTAATGATCAACAGAGCAGGAAAATAACACAATCGTGAGGAAAGATGTACAGTTAAATGACATTCAGCACATATGGGGATGTCACAGAAGCTCACTGCATGTCTAAAGACTCAATGTCTTCTGGTGGGTTTGTGATGTCATGATACATGCATTTAATAGCTGACCTCGAATTATTAGAAAAATCATTTGTGGTGTGGCTGTTACACTGTGTGGTATTTTCTAATGATTCAATGGACTATTATTCTGCTATGGTTCCATCACCTAAAGAGACAGTTAAGATGTTGTATTTGAGGCATTTTTAGTTTTTGTCCTTAAACTGCTCTTGTGTGTAGGACTAGTCTTTTACGCATCTCCTCCAAAGCCTTCTGTTGTGTTTTGATGTAATTTTTGACTGTTGTAGCTGTGAAATATCTGAAATCATTATAATTCAGTGTAGTGATATGGAACTGTAATGTGGTCAAAACTAATTTAGCTTTGTGGTTATCTCAAAACAACTGCACACCTTACATTGTTCATCATCCAATCGGAATCAAGCAATCAACAGGCTAGTATTACTGTATTCTCTTTATTCTGCAATTAAGTAGTGAGCTCTTTTTGCAGTTGTTTTAGAAATTTGTCCATGGGAAAACATCAGTGAATGGTCAAACTGCTTTCTCTAAACACAAGTGCCATAAAGAAATAAGTTCATGTCAAATTAATGTTAGGATTTCACACATATAAAATATGTAGTATAAAAAATATATAATATATATTATATAGCAACATATATGGCAAAAATGCCCTTTTAAATATATTTTTTGAACCATTGGAACTACAAATATGGATATAATATCAATATATTACACACACACAATATCAGGTCCATAAATATTGGGACATCGACACAATGCTAGGATTTTTGGTTCTATATACCAACAAATGGATTTGAAATAAAAAAGATGTGCTTTAACTGCAGGCTGTCTGTTTTAATTTGAGTGTAATTACATCCAAATCAAGTGAACGCTATAGGAATCACAACAGTTTGCGTATGTGCCTCTCACTTGTTAAGGGACCAAACCTTTCAAAATGACATTAAATTGGAATAAAAAGTTTTTCTTTTGTGCCAAAAAATTATATATATATATTATTCTATTAAATAAAAATCATGTTCCATGAAGATATTTAGTAGATTTTTGTAATAAGTAATGTGTATTGCTAAGTAATGTGCACTGCTAAGCACATAATTTAAACAAAGTTTTATTAGTATTTATTATTATTTTATTAGTATTTTTATTAGTATTTTTTAACCCTTTAGAATCCAAATTTTAAAGTAGTTGTATACCTTGCAAACTTTACATCAACGGAAAGCTTATTTTTACAGCTTGAATGTATAAACTTCAATATACAACATTTTTGCTCTTGTCACATACAGTTGATGTCAAAATGATTCGCCCTCCTGTGATTTTTTTTTTTAATTTTCAAATATTTCCCAAATGATGTTTAACAGCAAATATTTTTCACAGTATTTTCTATAATATTTTTTCTTCTGGAGAAAGTCTTGTTTTAATTCATCTAATACAAAAGCAGTTTTTAAGTTTTTTAGAAGCAATTTAAGGTCAATAATATTAGCCCTTTTAAGCAATATTTTTGTTTGATTAAATATACAGAACAAACCACTGTTATACAATGATTTGCCTAATTACCCCAATGTGCCTAATTATTAAGCTTTTAAATGTCACTTTAAGCTGAATACTAGTATCTTGAGAAATATGTAATCAAACATTATGTGCTGTCATCATGGCAAAGATAAAAAAAAACCCAGCTTTTATATGAGTTATTAAAACTATGTTGAAATTGGGGAAAAATATATACAAGGCGGCTAATAATCCTGACTTCAACTATGTTCATACATGTTAAATGTATACGAAGATGCCAATTTGCATCAAGCAGCATTACAAGCTGGTTTATACGGTTAAAAATCAATGGAAGTGAATGAGGTCGCAAGTCTCGCGACAATTAGTTTCCAATGGCTGCAATTACTCTTATGTGAAAGACCAAGGTCAATAAGATGAGTTAACATTGTGTCCTGTCATCCCCTTCAACATCATCATCAGTATTACTGGCGGAGATGTGAAGCGCAGCAGTGTGAACAGCTCTGCTTCTGACAGCAGCTCATCTCACAACGGCTCACTTCTCACTGTGGACCTGAAGAACTTCAAGGCCCTCTGGAATGAGGAGGTTTCTCTGAATCGAGAGCGCTGGAAGATGCAGGCAGCTAAAGGTAAGAGCAGATCCTTCATCACTGCAAGAATACACGTTTAACTCTTGTGTGCCATTGGAGTTGTTTTCTTCCACTCTGGGGGGATTTTTGGCCACAACTTTCTCTGTTTCAACAAATGGAAAGATTTTTTTGGTGATGAATCTTATTTTGACACATTTTTACGCAATATGCTTTGAAAAAAAATCAACAATACACTCTGGGCAAATTGTTCGTGGAAAACCACCTACAATCAAGAATGGATGATTATTTAGTGTCAAGGCTTCGCAATCAAAAAATGACATTATAATTGAAGTCAATAAGTAAAAACAGCCATGAACATAACAAAAGGGTAGTACATTTGAACAGTAAACAAGGAGTAAAAGGAATGCACCAGTTGTTTGAAAGAAAAAAAAATAGTTGAAAATACAGCCAAAAAAGCATGTTGTGAAAACGCTGGTTTCACTCTCACTCCAGCTGTAGTCATTAGCCCCTTTCACACATACAGACCTTTCCGGAAAATAACCGGCAATTTTCCGGAAAGGTTGTATGTGTGAACAGGTCCCTTTTGAAAATACCAATAAATTCGTTCTGGCTTTTTTCCGGAAAGAGAAGTTGTAACATTACCGGTAATTTGCCGTAATGCTGCACTGTGTGAACGCAGAAGGAAGATTGCCGGAAAGAGCCCATGCACGTCTAGAACGTGCTGACGTGAGACGTCTGCTTTAGCCAATCAGAACAGTCAGATGCTTTACGTCCGCGCGGTTTATGAGAATAAAAGCCTTTGAATATTTTCCCAGACGCGTTTAGCTGCTAGAAGTTAGTCAGATCAAGTTTATATGTTCTTCTTAATGCCAACTGTGTAAATGATCATCGATAAGATGCTTATGATAAGCCACTGTTTGTTTACCTTCAAGCTTTGCGTGTGTCTGTGAAACAGCCTGTGAGCGCCAGCTCACATACACATTATAAACTTCTAGAAAAATTCCGTAACTTCCTCGCCTGTGTCAACAGCGCTTTTTTGAATATACCAGTAAAGTCGTTCTGGAAATTTTACAGATATTTACCGGTATCACTGTGTTAAAGGGGCTATTGTGTGGGAAAAGGGGGCTTTTACACCAGACATGGAAAGCACTACGCTAAGAAACCCATTAATTTCAGCGAAGCACCCTGTTGACCGGTATGTGTGCACAGGTGTACAAAATAGCTTTGTATTCTGCTATTTGGATATTTGCACATATAAACTTAAACTTATTCATGCTTGAACCACACCGACTAAAAAATGTCCGTAAATTAGCAGTTTTCCGTATTTTGTAAACTAAGTTTTTTCCCCCATTTCTTAATGCTTTTTAAATGCGTCATGGGATCTTTTAATCTTGAAAAGTTAAACAAAAGTGACTTTTATGGACATTTTTAATAGTTTAAAGTGATATATTGTCTGATTTGGTGTTGTATATTACGCTACAAAAACCTTGTAATGAACTGCCTGTTCATTTTCTGTTTTTTTACAAACTTATTTCTCTATATATTATTTCTTAAACAATATATTGTCTCAAACTATTAAAATGTTATCCACATTCCATAATGCAGTTCACAATCGAAAATAAATGAAAAACACAGAATATGGAAACTGTTACAATGTGTGCTCACCAGAAAAGCAAAGTCTTTTCAAATAAAATTTAGACAGGACATTTCTATGGAGTATACCTCCTCCTGTTGTTTTCAATAGCATCACTGTGTCATGGCAAGGCAAGTAAAATGACACCTCCCGACTTGCTCATTGGCAATACAATTTTACTGTCAATAAATGTATTTTATTTTGCCGTCCTGTCCTACTGTAAATTATAAATACTTAATTATTAAGTATTTCTCATATGCATTGCTAAGAATTTGGACAAATTCAAAGTTGATTTTTTTTTTATATTTGGATTTTTTAAACCCTTAGATCCCAAATATTGTCATATTCTTACAAGCCAGACATCAATGGAGGCTTATTTTTTTCCAGCTAGATAATGTACTCTATAGATGTCAATTTTATAATATTTTATGGTCCAAAGTCACATATTACATTGATTTTTTTGAAAGATCATATGACTGAAAATTCAGTTTTGACATAATGGGAATATATATACATATATATATATATATTCAATTTATTTTATTCAAATATTTCAATTGAGAACAATGAGAACATTTTACAAAATGCCTGATTTTAAACTAGGTATTTTATTAATAAATGAAGTCTTTAAAGAGCATAAATGGCTGAAATACATGCACAGTATAAACCACCAGCAAATGAATTAAATAAATACATCTTTTACGATAAGCAGGTTGACATTTCGATTTTTATTCAATGTTTCAATAAAGCATGGGTCAGAAAACCAGCAAAGTGTACATTAAACTCCTTCAATATTGTAATCAAATCATCAAATGTTTTTGGGGATACATCATATTACAAATTAAAAACTTGGGAACTGTTTCATGGTTTAATCTGTTAAATAGTTTTGTATTCTTTCAGTACATCCAAACTGTTGTAACATTTTTCACTCTCATGCATTTTGAGCAAGTAAATAATGAATAATGCACTTCCCGCTGTGTCTCATGTCAGAGACGGAGGAGAAGGCCAAACGAGAGCTGGAGGAGCAGCAGGAGGTAGAAAACCAGGTGCAAAAAAAAGAGCTGGAGCTCTCAGAACCAAAGAAAGATGACCCGGAGCCTGGAGTGGTAAATGGACCCCCAGAAGAAAGTCCCCATGGCAAATCAAAGAAATTACAGAACGGTATTCTGTTAAAATCTGACTTTTACAGTTCAAATTGTTCATTATTTATTCATGATTGCCATGATTGGATAATTCAAAATATAACAAACAATTAAAATGGAGAGTTCACCCAAAAATTAAAGTTACTCACTATTCAATCCCTCTAATTAACACAAAAGAAGAAGTTTTTCTGTAGTAGGAAAAACGTATACAATAGAGGTCAATGGTGAACGGTTTCCAGCTTTCTTCAAAATATCTTCTTTTGTGTTCAACAGAGGAAAGAAAGTCATAAAGGTTTGAAACAAGTGAAGGGTGAGTAAATGATGACAGAATTTTAATCTCTAGGTGACTTATCCCTTTAAGACCATGTCAACCACAGCCATAGTCCAGTATCTGAGATGGTATAATTATAATAAGAGCTTTCAGACTGAAGAAGCTTTTCATAGTTCCTAGAACTATTTTTAATTTGTTCATATTAAAGGTAAAAGGAATGATTTTAGTTACAGGAACTCCTTTTGGGAGAACTAAAATAGCTCTCTCTTCCAGCATAGGCTCATTCTGAAAACGTAGCCCTATATACATTTCTGGAGATCGTGAATTATGTAGCCAGAAGTACGTATGGCTGTGTTTCATCTTTAAAACAAATGTTATTGGGCGGTAAGATGCCGTTCCTTTTCACGCTTACCAGCTGGCCGATTACATCTAAATGGACGGCTTTCCTGCTGTTATCAGTTTGCCCAGTAGCTTGCCATTTATGTCAGCCAACTTGAGATGCAGAGAGGAGTTGACTACGACAACAGTATTTGAGTCTGGTAAAGAACTGTTCCAGAAAGCATGTAAGATAAAAACAGAAGTCAAAAAACAAAATAAACAAGTAAATAACAGGGTGAAAATGTGGTAAAATCTGAAAACGTGGTAAAAATCAGGCCAGGCAGTTTCTTTTTATTTTTTTTTTGGATTGCTTGTGAAAACTGTCAGTTGGGTTTAGGAAAGTGGGTCCATGCCTGTCAATCGGTGCTTTTGAAAACACTATTGGTTGAGTTTAAGGAGGAGGGTGGTTCAGTCGATCGGTCAGTAAGTCAGTCATTCGACAGCGGTCTCTGGTGGATTTACGTGAGAACAGCAGAATGGCATTCGCGAGAGAAATTTGAGTTCTCAAAAATCGTACACAGCGGCCTCTGGTGGATTCGCGAAAACAGAAAATGCTAAAAAAATGTAGCTCCTGGGACGTATTTGGCACTCTCCAGAAATGTATATAGGAGTACATTTTCAGAACGAGCCTGGGTTGCCTTCTTCTAAGTAAAGTCTAAATGTGGGAATTACCTGTGATATAAATGTACATTTATAATGAGAAAATTAATTTTGTGTGCAACAATATTTTCAAGTTTCAGAACACAGAGAGTACAAACACAGAATGCAAGTTTTAGTGTGGCATATTATACAGATTTTTACCATGGTTTGTATCATTCACAAATTATAGTCATTATAATCTCCTTTAGCTCTCCTTATTGCTCTTAGATTCATACTACTGTATTTGAAGTCAGAGTTACTAGCCCCTCTGTTTATTTTTTCCCCCAATTTCTGTTTAACGGAGAGAAGATTTTTTTTCAGCACATTTCTAAACATAATAGTTTGAATAACTCATTTCTAATAACTGATTTCTTTTATCTTTGCCATGATGACTGTAAATAATATTTGACTAGATATTTTTCAAGACACTTCTATACAGCTTAAAGTAACTATTAAAGACTTAACTAGGTTAATTAGGTTAATTAAGCAGGCTAGGGTAATTAGACAAATCATTGTATAATGATGGTTTGTTCTGTAGACTATTGAAAAATAGCTTAAAGGGGCTAATAATTTTGACCTTAAAATGGTGTTTAAAAAATTAAAATCTGCTTTTATTCTAGCCGAAATAAAACAAATAAGACTTTCTCCAGAAGAAAAAATATTATCAGACATACAGTGAAAATTTCCTTGCTCTGTTAAACGCCATTTGGGAAATATTTAAAAAAGAAAAATATTCAGCAGAGGGCTAATAATTATGACTTCAATTGTATATCAATGTTCTGTGCCAATTACCACAAAACCTACAATACAAAACCTATCTTTGATCGCTGATTTGGTAAATAAATGAAAATAAAAAATCTGGGGACCAGACTTATGGCTAGTTCCTAAAACAGGCTTCCAATAACTACCCAGTGTAAAAAGCCCTAGAGAAATATTTAGATATTGTGATATTCATTTAAAAATTATATAGCTCCAGGATCAAAACAGAAATTGGTAGTCATCTTTGTTGGGTAATTTACTTCAAAAAAGTAATTAATTTCTAATTACATCATAAAACAAACTTTTCTAATTACTGTGACTGAAAATAATTTAATTTCTCAAAAATAATTCAATTACTTGACCCAATACAACTTAAAACCCCTGTAAATCTCAACCAGTGGCGGATTTAGGCATTGGTTATCGCCCAGGGTGGCATCTTGCTAAGGGCGGAATAGAGAAACCAACCGTTTTCCACACTGTGACTGCATGTGCAGGAATTGTTCTCTTTACTCTCTTCCACTGAATGTTTGACCCTCTGGTGTCTGCAAACAGGAGAAGTGTCTGAAGAGGCAGAATCACCAGCAGATGAAGATAAGAGAACACTCAGCGGTAAACAGTCATGCTCTTTAATACATACACTGTAAAGAATTTAAGGTCAACAAGACCTCAGGAAGCATGCATTAAACTGATTGAAAGTGACAGTGAAGGAAGATCTATTTCAAATAATGCCTGTTCTTTTAAACCATCTATTTATAAGAGAATCTGGGTAAAAATAACATTGCATTACATACTTTCTACAGCAATTATAAGCAGCAGAACATCGTTAACTTTAATGATATTAATAAGAAAGGTTTATTAAGTAGCAAATTATCATAATAAATGGATTTCTTTAATAAATGGGCACTGAAGACTACACTGTAAAAAAAAATCGTAAAAAAAAGGTCAAATGACTGGCAGCTATGGCTGCCAAATAAAAACCATAAAATTACGGTAAAATTTCTTTGTTTAAATAAAGTGCAAAAAATATTAAATCTACAGATATTTTCATTAAAATATTTACAGAAAAACACTGTTATTTTACTGACTTTTCCTAGATTATTACGATCAAATCCATTTAATAAAGTAACACAATAAGAGTTTTACAGAGAAACACTGTTATTTACAGACTTTTCCTAGATTATTATGATCGAACACCATCAATAAAGTGACTGCACTAAAAGTTCAAGAAAAAACAATGTTATTAAATTTTTTTTTTACAATTAAACACCTTTATTTTTACAATTAAACACCTTTAATAAAATGCCAAGACATGCTCTTGGTCGTAATTTAACAGTTTTATTTTGGATCAAAAAAGTTTGGAAAAAACATCAAACGAGATACAACTGATTAAAATTCTCACAACTATAACATTACATTTTATTGAATAGTATTACTTTAAAACATGTAGAGGTTTAAGTTGTATGAAATGATTCAGTTCCAAATCTTAAATGAAATGGAACTGTAACATGGAGGGGACGCTGACAAAGAAGTGCAGATTCAAATGCAGGTTTATTACACAGAGATGGTCAGGCAAGCAAGTCAACACAGGGGCAAACTGCATACAGATGTGTGCAGTGAATCCAGAGTCATGGTCAATTAACAAGCAAATGATCAGTCCTGGCAGCAAACAACTTAAACAATTAACAAACAAAGCAAGACAAAAGAAGAGAAACGAGTCATAATGTTCACAGTAACAGTATAACAAGACTAAGCAATTGGTGCGTGCGTCTGTGCTGCTTTTAAAGTCCATGTAATCAGTTCATAACAGTCCTCCGACTGTGTGTGTGCAATCAGCGGAATCTGGAACAGGTGTATGTGAGCACTCTTAGCGTATTACTTTATTAAATGGATTTAATAGTAATAATCTAGGAAAAGTCTTTAAAATAACAGTGTTTCTCTGTAAACATTTTAATGAAAATATCTGTAGATTTATTATTTTTTGCACTTTTTTTCAACAAAGAAATTGTACCTTAATTTTATGGTTTTTGTTAGGCAGCCGTAGCTGCCAGTCATTTGACCTTTTTTTACGATTTATTTTTATTTTTTTACAGAGCAAGTAATTACAATTTATTACTTTAATTTTACGTAATTTTAAATGTACTTAAAAACAGGAAAAAACACTGTAAATAATACGTCAATTTTTTTGTAAAAAAAACAGACAAATTGCTGTAAATTGTCATTACTTATATAGTACATAAAATAACATTCAAGCTGTTAATTTACAGATATTGTTTGTCATTTTTACGAACTTTTGAATATAATTTAAAATAACAGAAAAAATACATTATAGATAATACAGTAATTTCCCTGTATAAAAAACACAAATGTCAGTAATTTATCTTTAATAATAAAGTACCTAAAATGAAAGTCAAACGGTTAATTTAGAGAGATTGGTTGTTATTTTACTAAGTTTTGAATATAATGTGAAATGACAAAAAATTACTGTCAAAAATTTAAGGATATTTTCTGTAAAATTAGGTTTTTTTTTTTTTACAGTGTAGAGTAATGATGGTGAAAGTTCAACTTTGCTTCAAAGCAATAAATTATATTTTTATGACAATAAAATAGACAATACAATACAGATATGGATACTGTCACGATCACCAGCGATCTAACAACCCGAGATCGCTGGTAAACACTCACATTCACATGAACTTCAAATCTGAACTAAAAATATAATGTTGTAGGGTATAATGCTGCTTGGCTACTAGTTATTTTTTATTAATGTATCAATAAGATGTGAGGCTACCTATTCTCACTCACTATCATTCAATTTAGTCCCTGATTTATCAGGGAACCACAGTGGAATGAACCACCAATTATTCCAGCATATGTTTTACACAGCAGATACTCTTCCAGCTGCAACCTAGTACTGGGAAACACCTATACACAGTCACATTCACACACACGCTCACACTACTGGCAATTTAGTTACCTATATTCACCTATACCGCATGTCTTTGGACTGGTTGAAACAAGTACTTTTTACTTTGTTACTTTTGTACATTTTTGATGCCGTACTTCTTTACTTTTACTTAAGTACAAAAGTGTAGCCAGTACTTTTACTTTTAACAGAGTCGTTTTAAACATGAGTGTCTGTACTTTTACTTTAGTAAAGGATTTGTGTACTTTTGCCATCTCTGTGAAACACCAATATGGTGCAGCTAAATATCAACTTCAGCATAAATGGTCCTGCTAGTAAGTAGGTATTTAATAGGCCCACAAGGAATCTGCACAGGCAGAATTCCGCAGATTTTTAGCCCATCATTAATTCTGTGTATTTACTTGAGTAAATGTGTGTAAATTTATATTTATTCAGTTTTTTAATTATTTCAGTAATATTATTGCCCAATATGGAAATATGCATGTGATTTATTTACAGTGCAGTGTGTACAGTAATATTTTCTTTCTTTTAGTAGATATGTTATATGAGAGACTTCCTTTGTTTACCAAATAAAGTGGATCTAATTGGATTTACATTGTAAATTTAAATAAAAGTTAAAAAGGTATTTTTTATTTCAAATATTAAAGTTTTATTTAAGACACTCCCAAAATAATTCTGTGCAGAAATAGCAAAAAATGTCCGCAGATTCTGTCTGGCCCTTGTAATTAATAATAGAATACTTTTCTGAAGTAACTCACCCAACACTGACCGTTACAGGTTTCTAACATTCTACAAAAAACTTAATTTGTGATCAACAAAAGCAAAAAAAAAAAAAAAAAAAAACTCATAAGAATATGGAACCATTTGAGGGTGAATTAATAGTGAGTATATTTTAATTTTGAATTTGGGTGAGCTATCCCTTTAAGTATTTTCATTTCAAGTTTCTTTGTTTAGCGCTTTTCACTATAATTGTTCCAAAGCAGCTTTACAAAAGGTGCACTTGCTGCATCACAGTCACATTCAGAAAGGTTTAGGTTTTTACCATAATTTTATTAGTTGCTAATAGTTTTAACTAATTAACTAGTAACTAATAGCTTTTAACAGTTAAAGTTATTATATATGGACATATTTAACATGCAGCTATATAGCACATGTCCATGTGTACGTTTAATGTAAGCATTTGTGTATTTTAAGTCTATGTGCTGTCCTCGAACAGAGAACATTTATTTATTTATTTATTTATTTATTTATTTATTTATATAATTGTTTTATGTATTTATTGGACAGGGATAGATAAAGCTTTTGAGACCTATTTTAAAGGTATAGTTCACCCTAAAATGAATATTTACACACTATTTACTCATCCTCCAAACTTTTTAATGTGTTTTACACACAAAAAAAGTGTATTTTTAAGAAAACTGAAAACCTGTAACCATCGATTTCCATAAAATCAAAAAAGCAAATGGAAGTCAATGGTTACAGGTTTTGAGCATTCTTCAAAATATCTTCTTTTGTGTTTAATAGAAGAAAGAATAGGTTGAAACAAAAAAGGGCGAGTAAACAATGGCAGAAATTGACGTTTTTGGTAAACTATGTCTTTATTCTGTAAATAACAAGCTATTTTTAGCAGTTGCATCCTCCGTGATCAATATAATAATCTTTTACAATCTATTTTAAAGGTATAGTTCACCCTAAAATGAATATTGACACACTGTTTAATCACCCTCCAAACTTTTCAGTTTATTTCTTCTATTGAACACACAAAAACATGTATTTCTAAGAAAGCTGAGTTATTATATATGAACATATTTAACATGCAGCTATATTGACATATGTCCATGTGTACGTTTAATTAAAGCATTTGTGTATTTTAAGTCTATGTGCTGTCCTCGGACATAGCACATTTATTTATTTATTTATTTGTTTGTTTATTTGTTTATTTCTTTCTTTATTGATTGATTGATTGATTGATTGATTGATTGATTGATTGCAACTTTTTTCTTCTCTAATGCTACAATTTTCTTCGATGTGCTTTTAACAGAAACTGCAAAACCCTGAAGTGAGTGATATCCAGCGGCGTCTCCCTGTCCAACATCAGATTCCGCTGTAAACAATGAACTCTTCAGAAGATTCACGGCGCCATCTAGCGGACAAGACTATTGCTTACATCACTTTGCATTCAGCCTCTTCCACTCCAAAGCATTTTCTAGATGAATGATGAAGGACACTGCGAACAGACGAGGTACAGCTGCTGCTTTTCTTCCCAGAAGCAGATCTCTCTTTCTTCCCAAACCTTGGCTGCATTGACTTAGAAACGCATGCAAATGGTGGATCCGTATGAAAAGCTCCTTCATTTATAAGAAAACATACAAACGCTTTTAATGTCTTTCCGCATTTAAGCTGCCTCGCAGTTGGACTTAAAGTGTGAAACTTTAATTTATATCTAAAGATATATAAATAGATGTGTATATTTATATAATATGTGGCCTGTGTTAAAGGAATAGTTCACCCGAAAATTTTAATTTTCTCACTCTTTAAGTGGTTGTAAACCTCTATGAATTTCTTTTTTCTGTTGAACAATAACGAAAGATATTTTGAGGAAAGATGAAAAGCTGCAACCATCAACTTTCATAGTTGTAACCACTAAATCTAGAGTCAATGGTTAGCCTATGGGTTTTGAGCATTCTTCAAAATATCTTCTTTTGTGTTTAATAGAAGAAAGAATGGGTTGAAGCACGTTTTTGGTGAACTATGCCTTTATACTGTAAATAACAAGTTATTTTTAGCAGTTGCATCATCCGTGATCAATATATTAAGCTTTTGAGACCTATTTTAAAGGTATAGTTTACCCTAAAATGAATATTTACACACTATTTACTCACCTTCCAAACACAAAAAAGTGTATTTTAAAAAAACTGAAAACCTGTAACCATTGACTTCCATAAAATCAAAAAAGCAAATGGAAGTCAATGGTTACAGGTTTTCAGCATTCTTCAAAACATCTTTTTTGTTTAATAATAGAAAGAAGGGGTTGAAACAAATAAAGGGCGAGTAAACGATGGCAGAATTTGACGTTTTTAGTGAACTATGCCTTTATACTGTAAATAACAAGCTATTTTCAGCAGTTGCATTCTCTGTGATCAGTATATTAAGCTTTTGCGACCGATTTTAAGGGTATAGTTCATCCTAAAATGACTATTTACACACTATTTACTCACCTTCCAAACTTTTCAATGTGTTTTTCCTGTTGAACACACAATAAAGTGTATTTCTGAGAAAGCTGAAAACCTGTCACCATTGACCTCCATAGGAAAAAACAGCAATAGTTACAGGTTTTCAGAATTCGTCAAAATATGTTCTTTTGTGTTTAAAAGAAGAATGGGTTGAAGCAAGTAAACGTTGAGAAAACATGACAGAATTATACATTTTGGGTGAACTATGCCTTTATACTGTAAATAACAAGCTATTTTCAGCAGTTGCATTCTCTGTGATCAGTATATTAAGCTTTTGCGACCGATTTTAAGGGTATAGTTCATCCTAAAATGACTATTTACAAACTATTTACTCACCTTCAAAACTTTTCAATGTGTTTTTCCTGTTGAACACACAATAAAATGTATTTCTGAGAAAGCTGAAAACCTGTCACCATTGACTTCCATAGGAAAATACAGCAATAGTTACAGGTTTTTAGAATTCGTCAAAATATATTCTTTTGTGTTTAAAAGAAGAATGGGTTGAAGCAAGTAAACGTTGAGAAAACATGGCAGAATTATACATTTTGGGTGAACTATGCCTTTATACTGTAAATAACAAGCTATTTTCAGCAGTTGCATCCTCCGTGATCAATATATTAAGCTTTTACAGCAGGTTTTAAGGGTATAATTCACCCTAAAAAGAATATTCACATTATTTACTCACCCTCCAAACTTTTAAGTGTGTTTCTTTTATTAAACTCACAAAAAACTGTATTTAAAAAAAAAGACAAAATTCTGTAACCATTGACTTCTATAGACAAAAAAAAACATATACTATGAAAGTCAATGGTTACTGGTTTTCAGCATTCTTCAAAACTTCTTCTTTGGTGTTTAATAGAAGAAAGAATAGGTTGAAGTAAGTAAATGGCAAGTAAATGATGCCAATATTTGACGTTTTTGGTGAACTATGCCTTTACAGTATATTGTAAATAACAAGCTATTTTTAGCAGTTGCATCTTCTGTGATCAATATATTAAGCAATTGCAACCTATTTTAAAGGTTTAGTTTACCCTAAAATGAATATTTGCACACTATTTACTCACCCTCCAAACTTTTCAGTGTGTTTCTTCTGTTGAACACACAAAAAATGTATTTCTGAGAAAGCTGAAAACCTGTAACCATTGACTTACAGTTGGAAAACAATGGAAGTCAATGATTACAGGTTTCCAGCATTCTTCAAAACATATTCCTTTGTGTTCAACTTACTAATGTAACTCAAACAAGTTTGGAACAAGTAAATGGTTGAGTAAATAAAATTGTTGTGTGAACTACCCCTTTAAATGCGCTTTACTCAGCAATGAACTGATGCATTTCTGCTAATATAACTCCTCATCTGCTAATAGAGGTCACCCATATGAAAAACCCTGAATGTTTATATGTATTATTAATGTAAATGACTGTCAGCGTTTAGATCCAATGCTTTTATAACTGAGAAAGGGGTATGAAGTGGCAGTATTTTGCTATCGGAGCTGTGGTGTAGATTCGACTGAAGATTTTAGTTTTTTTTTTCCTCTCTCTTGCTTACCTTCAGATGCCTTTCTTCAAGTAGTCTTTCTGAAAAGCCAACTCAAATGTCTTCTGCAGGAATCACTCACGCACAGACTATAGCCACCCGTCACCGTAGATGCTTGAGGTTGTGTAATTAAACGTATAGTTGTGTGTAAGTCATAACCATATCACTGTGCTCGCTCTGCAATACCTGGATATCACGCCGTATGTTTTTATTTATTTATTTTTTTTACTAGATTTCTGGAGGCTCTGTGACAAGATTTTTCTCAAGAAGAACACGTCTTTTGCATTTCACAGTAAAATGAAAAACAGAAACTATATTTTGCATGATATACAATGTTCAACAGCCCACTTATTGCTCTATTTTCATGTCAATTTAAGCACATTTTCTGAAATATTCATGCCTGAGTCCCATTGCTATAGCATACCCAAAGGCCCAATTTTGCTTTATCTTTATTTTCGTCTCATAAAAGTAGTTTTTTTTTTCACTACTACTATTATTATTATTATTATTATTATTATTATTATTATTATTATTATTATTATTATCATCATCACTATTATCATTATTATTAATATTATTATTA